GTGCTTAGCCAGGCCAGTCTTCATATGAAAGTTCATCCTGGCACCCATATTCAAAGTGTTTCCCAGCTTACTAGGAACTGTTACAACTTATGCTCCACTGGCATAGCTTTTAAGAATAGTGGATAGAAGGAGAGAGGAATTACCTTGAATTCTCAACTCCTGAATACGGAGTCCTTCTACTAACTGGCTTATCCCTTGACTCAGTGTTGAAATCTCTTATCTCCCACTTACTACTATTTAAAACCCCCAAATGTCAGGTTAGCTTGTTAGATGAACACTTCGTTCTTTTCTTAATCCAATCAAGAGAGTCTAAGCCTCATAAAGAGATCTCAACTCTTTGTTTACATATACATAAAACTCCACCCTTCTGTTGATTGATTTACCTGAGACTCTAGGTCTTTCATTTTTTTTGGGGGGGGTTAGGCAATGGGGTTAAGTAACTTGCCCAAGGTCACAGAGCTAGTATGTTATGTGTCTGAAGCCGGATTTGAACTCAGGTCTTCCTGAATCCAGGGCCGGTGCTCTATCCACTGTGCCACCTAGCTGCCCCTACTCTAGGTCTTTCTATGTTTATATTATTTGGGGTGGGGTTGGAACTCATTTCTTTATATAAAAAGGTAGATTTAGCAACACAAGCACCAAATTCTGTGGTTGACCATCAATTTTATTTCACCTGTACATATCACCAAGCCTCATGATGTACTTATATGTTTAGAATACACAGGCTAGCCTAGCTAAATTTATCACCATGCCATTCAGTGAACTTTAGCATAATCAACCAATCAATAATCAGGAAATATTTAAATACTTACTATGCTAGGTACTATGCTAAGTATACAAAGATAAAACAAAAAACCTTCCCTGCCCTCAAGGAACTTACTTTCTCATGAAGGAAGACATATAAGATAAAAACAGAGTAGATGGAAGGTAACTTTAGAAGAGAAAAAATGAGCAGGTTTGGAATGTAGAAAGAGTTATGTGGAAGAGGTAGTACTCAAGTGGAATCTTAAAAGAAGTCAGGGATTCTAAGAGTCCAAAGTAGGAGGGAGTGCATTCCAGGGGAACTGCTAGAGCAAAGGCATGGAGATGAGAAATATAATGTGTCATGTGTGAGGAGCAGCAAATAGCCCAGCATGACTGGTCCACGGCGTGTGGAGAATAATGTATTAAAAGACCGCAAAGATAGAAAGGGGCCAGGTTGTAAAGAAATGCCAAATAGAGGATTTGATGTTTGATCCTAGAGGTAACATCAAGTTATCGGAGTTTATTGATTAGGACTATGACATAGTCACACCTGAACTTTAGGAAAATCACTTTGGCAACAGTGTGGAGGATGGAGTGGAATGAAGAGAAACTCGAGGTAGGGCAATTAGCAAGCTGTTGCAATTATCCGAGAGAGAGAATATGAGAGCCTAAATTGGGGTGGTGGCTGTGCGAGTGGAGAGAAGGGGGCATATGTAAGAGATGTAGAGAAATGACAAGATTCTGCAATTTGCAATTGATTTGTATAAATGGCGTAAATGAAAGCAAGGTGGCAAACCTGTATAGTGGATGAATTATGGTGCTCTTCAAAGTAATAAAGAAGTTCAGAAGGTGGGAGCTTTTGGGGTAGGTATGGGAGTAAGTACTGTTTTGGACATATTAAGTATGAGATGTTCAATAGGCAGCTGACATGTGGAACTAGAGAAATATTAGGGCTGGATAGGTAGATCTGACAATCATATAAGTAGAGATGACAGTTGAACTTATGGAAGCTAGACAGATCACCAAGTGAGAGATCGTAGTTGGAAAGCAGAAAGCCTAGAGCAGGGTCTTGGGGGACACCCACATTTAGTGGGCATTACATGGATGAAGACCCAACACAGTAGACTAAGAAGGAGTGGCCATACAGATAGGAAGAAAATAATGAGGGAAGAGAGTCACAAAAGCCCAGAAAGAAGAAAATCTCCATGAGGAAGATGTTGTTGTTCAACAGTGTCAAATGCTGCAGAGAGATGGAGAAGGAAGATTTGAGAAGGGGCTAATAGATTTGGCAATGAAGAGATCATTGGTACCTTTGGAGATAGCAGTGACAGGCAAATGGTGAGGTCAGAAGCCAAACTGCATAGGATTTAGTGAGAGGAGAGGAAATAAAGGCACAGAGTATAAATGATAGATGACTTTTTCAAGGAATTTAGTTAAGAAGGGGAGGAGAGATAGGAAATCTATCTGCTACTATCTTCTACTAAGTCACCAAAAGGTTGTGATATACATTGGAAGAGAGAGTATCTACACTGATAAAAATATAGATCATTGAAATATTAAATGTATGGTAGAGTATGTGTTTCAGCCTAATATTATGTAATTATCTTAAGATATTAGTTTACTATCTGATGTTTGCCATAGGCTTACTAATGTACATAAGGGTATTTTTTCAGCTTAAAAATTAAAATTCATAGCAAGAAGGGCACTATTAATAATGATAAATACTGATTAATTTTTAGCCAGTTCTAGGAATCTAAAATCTTAGAGTTGAAAGGAAGAAACCTCAAGAGACCATGTTATATAACTTCTTGCCTTCAGCCAGGCAAATCCTAATACCATAGGATTTTAGAGCTAAACAAGATTAACCTATTGATCACCAAGCACTTTTTAAGCACCTACAAAATGCCAGTCAACTTGCTAGGCACTGGAGATACAAAGACAAAAGTGCTATAATCCTTGCTTTCAAGGAATTCACATCCTTTCATGGGAAACAACATATCATATATAAGTATATACAGAATATAGTGAGTAAATATAAGGTAATTTCAAAGGGAGGCAGACGATCATAAAAGGTCGCATGTAGGAGGCAGTGTTTGAGTTGGGGAAGTTGGGATTTTAGGAGGAAATGAGGGAATGCGTTACAGAAATGGAGGATAGCATGGGGACAGGACATAGATTGTCTGGCTGTGGAATCTCAAGGACAGTATGGCTGGATTGTAGAGTACATGAAGGACAATAACACATGATAACTCCAGAAATGTAGGTGGGAGAGAAGTTTAGAAGACATATGCCTAACTGTAGGGTAGACTTGATTCTGTAGGTAACAGGAAGCCTCTGGAATTTGTTGAGTAGAGGAATGGCAGACCTCTGTTTTAGGAATACCACTTTGACATCTGTGCGGAGATTGGATTGGAGGAGGGAAAGCCTTGAGGTATGGCAGGCTAGTAGGCTATTGTAATAATGCAAACAAGAGGGAATGAGGAACTGACCTAGGGTGATGGTTAAGTAGAGAGAAGGACATAGGTGAGAAATGTTGTGAAGGTCAAACTGACAAGATTTAGCAATCGATTGGATAAGAAGAGTGAGAGAGGGAGGAAATTCTGCAGTTGTGAAGTAGGGCAACTGGAAGGATAGTGGTACCCTCCATAGAAATGAAGAAGTTTGGAAGTAGAAGATAGTGAGCTATTTTGGACATGTTGGGTTTGAGACACTTATAGGACATTTGGTTTAAAAGGTCCTATAGGAAATTAGCAATATGAGGCTGAAGCTCAAGGCTGAAGAGAGAGAGAGAGAGAGAGAGAGAGAGAGAGAGAGAGAGAGAGAGAGAGAGAGAGAGAATCATCTGTGTAGGGATCATAACTGAACCCATAGAAGCTGATTAGGTCATCAAGAAAGCAAAGAGAAAAGGACCCAAGGCAGAACCTTGGGGATACACCCAGTTAGAAGATGGAATATAGATGACCTAGCAAGGAGACTGAGGACTGAGGTAGGAGAAACAAGAGATAGCAGTGTTCAACAGTGTCAAAAGATGCAGAGGGTCAAGAAGGAGGATTGAGGAAAGGGTATCAGATTTGGCAATCAAGAGATAACTTTTGAAAGAGTGGTTTTAGTAAATTGCAAGTAGCTGAGAGGTGAGTGAGGAGGAAGTGAAAGAAATAAGTCTAGACAATTTTTTTTTGAAGATTTTGGATGTAAAGGGTAAATAGGATAATAATCTGAGGATATAGAGACAACAGTGTTTTTGAAGGAAGGGGAGACCTGGTGCCATTGTAGGCAGTAGGAGATATAGCTAGGGAGAGATTGAAGATTAGATTGTGGGAAGTCTATCAGAGGAGATAGGAGGGTATGGAATTAAGAATACAAGTAGAACAGTTGGCCTTGGCAGGGAGAAGGACTTACTCTTCATCAGCTTCTTCCAGAACTGGTGTCAAGGAAGAAAAAATTGAGGATTATATTAAAGGGTTTTGAGATGTATAAGGGAGAAGGAAGGTTACTGCAAATGACTTATTTTTTCCTTCTCAAAGTATGAGAGAACCTCAAAAATAACTAACTCCCTTATTTTATAGAACAAAAAACTGAAGTCCAAAAAAGTGAAATGAGCTTCCCAAGATTGTTCAAATTCAGGGCTCTTGCCCTGAATACTATGCTTATTCCTGTTTAGTTAATGAAACCTGTGGGGAAGTCAAACCTTTTCTCATCCACCCAGTCAAGTGATTTCTCCTGTCTATAAATTTAGAGGTTATTTTTCCATACCTCAAATGAATTTGCTTTACTTTATATTAATTTGTGGTCATATCTTCTCTCCCCAACCTCATTGGGAGCTTCTTGAGGATGGAACATATCTTACTCATTTTTGACACTCCCACAGCACCCACACACAGGGCAATGAAGTAAATATGTTCTTTGATTTTCTGAGAAATGTTGAATGACATGCCCATGATTATGTAGCTAATGGTATAATGGGGACTAGAAATTTCTGCTCCCTGTTCCCCACCTCCGCTGCCTAGCATATTGATCTGAGAGGGTGTTACAGACAAGAATCTTATGATAAATGAATGTGGCACTAGGACTTTTCTGATATGACATCTTGTTGAAAGGGAGAGGAAACAGCAATTCAACAACCTGTTGGTCAACATTAAGTACAGTTCACTGTTGGAAGATAAAAACAAGCCACCAAATAGGCACTCTTGACCATGCCTAATGGATAGCAGCAAGGGCAACAAAGTTTACATTCAACTCCAATTAATTAGACAAAGTTCCGAAAAACCTGCTGCCTTTGAGACAGTAACTTTATTGAATTGAAATAGAGATATAGCAGCAATTTACATACAGAAAGGGTTAAAAAGGAAAGCAAATTAATATTGCAGGAATGGCAAGCTACCCTCCACAGCTAGTTGCAACTATTGCAGTATAATGTTAATAATTAGGCATTCATGCATTAAATGTGATTAATAACCCTAGGGTACTAAAGCAGAGGCCAGAAAGAGTTATACTTAATTTCAAGGCTTTTTTATTGTATGAATGGTCGACCAAGTATCACCCTCCTAGCAGCATCTGGAGCACTCGTTGGTGTTCTATAGGTGGCTGGTGTACTTGACCCCCTTTTTTAAAACGTGTGTTCCATAAAAACACTACTTCCGCCCCAGTCCCATCTAAGAAGCTTCTGTTAAGGAAAAGAAATGCATGTTTCCATCTAAAAATCTGTAAAAGCTAACAAATCCCCCAGGCAGCAGTCAACGGAGCAGAGCTTAGAGCAGGCACTTCAGCAAATTCATTTCTGATGAGAAGTGTTAGAAAATTCACTCCTGCTCTTTGCTAGGTTTCTTATCACTCTGTGGTGGTGTGAGGACTCCAGTGGGAGCAGACACTCTCTCATCAGCCAGCATGGCTTGCTTTTCATAAGCTCTGTCCTAAAATAATACCAAAGGAGAGAAATAACAATGGTTTTTAAAAAAGTAGGTTTTTTACTTATATTTATTTACTAACTGCTGAAAAGAAGACATGCAATAACATTTAAATCCTACTATACTTTCAAAACTGTCCTTTATATTAAGATGGTTGAGCAAATCAATGCTAATTCTGAGTAAAATGAGTTTTCAACTCAGAAGTGATAATCTAGGGGTAAGGATGGGCTGATATTTAAAGGGGGAAATGATCAATTTCATACTGACATAATTAAGTATATCTAAAATCAGATTCAGTCCTCCAATATATTTTTTCACCAACTGATTTCCTAAGAATCTACATTAAATTTATGAAATAAACTCACAAAAATATAAAGTGATCTTTTGGTTTACCTAACACCTAGAAGTTGAATCTCCTTCCATGATTTTTTTTTTAAAAAATAATTACATGGGCGGGTATCTTTCTGGGTTATTTATATGTAGTCTTGTCTGGGGCAAAGGATTACATGGACTGGGTATGGTCGCTTCTAGAACAATGTACTGTTTTATCATCCTTAAATCAAGGTATGAGAAAATATAAAGGTTATTACTGACCAGCAAATTTATGGTGTTCACATGAGTCTGAATGTTATGCATGTCTTCACTAGGAACACCCTTGAAATATTTGAGTCTGGCTCCTCCTACTTCCTTTACAGCCATAGCAAATGGGACCATCCACTTCACACAGTCCTCTACTTCTGGCCAATCAAAGCCTGGGAAATAAAGTGAAAACAGTGCTCAATCTAAAGCTTAAAATATGGATATGTCAATACATTGATATACACACTTCAAATGCATCTGAAATCCAACTTACCTGAAACTTTTTTCATTATCTCAGTGGAAGAGAAATGATATAAGGCAGATGCAGCCAGCACTCCATAAGTAAAATCAAAGCAGCCCATATCCAGGATGCAGACATCTAAAAGCTACAAAGGAAGTTGGGAAAATATGATAGAAAACAAGTCAGTCAATCAATAAACATACCCCCATGAAATTACTTAAGATAGATGGGATGCCACACCAAATGGGATAACTTGTAGTGCTGGTACTTACCTCGGCCACCTGCACAAAGATTTGCTGAGGATACTGTGGCATGAGCACTTCTTCATACAGGTCATTGAGATAAGCAACCTGCATGTATACATTTAGCCAGGACACAAGTGTCATTGGACTTAAACGCCACTTAAGGGCCTAGAATAAAATGGAGGGAAGAAAGGAGAAGACAATTTAGAGATCAACAGCTAAGCCAAGAGTAATGGAGCACCCTGCCATGCGGGGTAGATTGCCATACAAATAATCAACCATCTTCAGAGTTACAGTATGTCCGCACAGAATCAAGACTTAGAAGGTCATTATTTAATTCAGAGGACATGATAATTAGGTATACAATTGAAGACGAATCAAATTCAAACAGGCAATTGCTTTCATCCTTGAAGAAATTCTGCATGAAGATTGAGCAGAAAATGTTTTATAAATCATTACTAACTTACCTTCATAATGATTAATTCCATGGTAAGAATTTCTTCCTCTGTACAAGCTCCATCTGTCACATAAGCAAACTGGTACAGCTTTGGTGGATAGATTTCCTGAAAGAAAAATAAATAAAATCATCATTACCACCAAAGCCAAACATTGGCATCTGCATGCCATAGTGTCCATTCGAATATCCCATTACCCGCTTTTTCTGAACCAAGTTTGACTGATGAAGATACAAAAACATAAAGATTCCACTCTAATTTATGTATTTTGAATTCTAGCATCTTTAGATGGTTAATTCATGGCAATATATTCATGGGAAAAATGTAAGAGCCCACCAGTAGTCAAAATGCCTGTGAAATCTGAAAGAAATTAATGAACTGTGCTTGCTATCATATATCTTTAGAGCAATTTTTTTTTTGCCCCCTCTTAGCTTCACATTTAACAGTTGGGCCCTAAGTTAGCATGAGTTGCCAAGATAAAGGCTGTTTCTTCCACCTAAACCATATTCATAGCCCAAAAGTAAGGTACTTTCCATACCATAAAAGTAAAATAGATGGTATTCTAAACATGAGCAGATTTCCTACCCTCATTGAAGCTAACATGTAATACTAACATTAAAAACTTGAACCAGTTTTACCTCAAGTTTGGCAGCTATAAATAATGAGGTAATCCCAATAAGCTGCAGAAGTGTTTTTGTAATATTTCGCTGTGTTGCCATATATCGATCAAAGAAGTCTTGTGCCAAGTAATACGTCTCCCTGTGAAGTTTATAGACTTCAGACACCTGAAAAAATATTTAATAAGTTTTAGTACATTTACCTGAAAGAATGTTTTTCATGGGCTTTCAATGTTTTGCTTTTAGACAAAACAGCAAAAACAAAAGTGCTGACAAGTTTACTTTTCTCCATTCTAACCTGTAAGTGTACTTATATAGAGAACTTGAGTCTTACTTAATATGGTCCAACTCTTCTACGTTTCCTGTGTAGGTTCAATCCTTTAAAGAATTAAACAATTGTTTTCAAGAGAAAACCCCTTATGAAAGTCTCACAAAAAATTATCAACCTTTCAAAATTTATTCTGAAAAACATTGTGTCTTGGGCATCACATTACCATATACCACTAGATGGTTAAAATAACAAAAAATTTTAATAAATATCAAGATACAGAGATTTAAAGACAGGCACAAAGTCAGGCTTTAAAGGCATCACAGTATAGTAGAAATATCAATGGACCAAGGAAAAGACCTTGATTCCAATCCCAGCTCTGTTCCTTACTAAGTGAATGTGTCTATATTCTCCTTTGTAAAATAGGAAAAACTTCCCAGCCTAACTGGTTATTGTGAGGATCATATGAGAAATCTATCAAGGTGCTTTGTAAATGACCAATTGCTATACAAACGTAAGGTATCATCACAAAAGCTAATAAAAAACACTGAGTCTTTCTAGGAATAGGATATGCCAACATTAATATGTTAATGTTTCAAAATTTGTCTCTGTTAGAATCTAAATTGTATGTAAGCAAAGAGCGAGTATATTTTTTTGGTGGGGAGGGAGGAATGATTGAAAGAGTAAAGAGAGCATTTCGTGTAAATAAAATAAGTTTATGAAGATTCCTTAGCGTGTCAAACACCATTTCTAATGATTAGAGTTAATATCACCAGCTAGTATTCAAGTTCCACCATTATGTTTTAGAACAGAAATAAAACCCAACCCTTGAAGTGAAACTCTTGTTGTTTATAAGACAAATTTTCAAAGATCCTTCACCAAACCCAAAATTTAGCACCTGCCATTAATGGTTTGGGCACCCTTTCCATATGCAAAAAAAATCACAGTTGTGATAGGTATGTTTCTTAACTTATTTGAATTTTTAACTGTTACTCATTATGAAAAACAAAGAAATAGCAGAATTTGGTAACATAGTTAAGAGCTTCAGTAGGCCTAATTTAAGGGAAAAAAAACCCCACTTATCAAAAGTTATATATGATAAAGCACTTCTTGTAGAAGATTGGATATGCCAGACAAGATAAATTTACCTATCAGAGTTACAAAATAGAGAACAACTTTACTTCATGTCTGCCACAGATTTTAAACAATAGAAATGTTTGTTCCAGGGCCAAATTAGAAAAGAAAAACAGAATTACTTTGATTTCCATGTTTTGGAAATGAGAAAGGCAATGAATACTTCATGGATTCAAAAAAAGAACCAGAAAACCAATTCAAAGAATTCTTTGTGAATGAGCAAAATATAATCACATACTTGTTTATACCATACTGTCACAGTTTAATGCCAACAGTCAAACTTACCTCCATCATCCAATCCAGAAGGATGGATCGCATTCTTGGCTGTAGAGAAGGATGTCTCTCCATAAAGTTCTTATCCCTCAGGTATACCTGTTCTTTGCTTAACATGATTTTCCAAACCTCATCTCTATTTGCCCAGCTATAAAAAATGAAACACTTATTAAAGTGCCTAAAAGTTAGAAGGAAAGCTGTAGTGAAGAGCTACAGATGTGTAAGTGGGTATGGCAGGTTAATTACTTACCCCAATAATGGTAATGGTGTAGCTCTATGTTGTGAGAAGTTGTGGGTTGGCATATTAGAATTAGGTAATGATGGCTCATCCCCTCCTTTGTCAGGTGTGAGAATCACTGACCACGGATTTCTGAGAAAAGCCTGTTTAAGGAAAACATCTTCTTAAGTAATGGGTTACTTGAAATCAGTCTCAGTACAGAGAATATAAATGATTCTTTATATAAGACAGCATTTATTCATAAAAAGAAATACCTTCACACTACAGAAAACATATTAGTGTCATTATCTTAATTAAAGCAGAATCCTACATTTTTCAGGATAAAGGAGAATGAAGTCAAGTCTAGATTAGGGATTTTAAACTCTTTTGGCAATCAGATAAAGACTAGAGACTCCTGAAGGTTTTGCTTTTCAGTACATAAAATAAAATACATAGGAGAGAAATCAATAAATTGAAACATGCTTATCAAAATATTAAAAAAAAATTCATGAGTCCAATGAAATGTATTCAAAGGCACCAGATTAAGAACCCTTTGTCTAGATAAATGAAATTCATGTAACCTCACACATTCATTTCAGCCATGAGCCTTGTCTCTTATCTAGCAAGCACCTCCTATTTACAATTTAGTTCCTAGAAACATTCTTCATATCCTTTTGTGCCATTTTATAAAAGATTTCTGGGCTTTTGCTACCTCATTTACTTAGACCTTATCTAAAGTTACAGACTACTTCACAATCATATCACTATTTTAGGTAGAGAACAAAAAGAGATAAAGTAAATATGTTCTACAACAAAATATTTGCTTTAAGCTGGCTGTCCATACTCAAAAGTATAAAAATAAGACTGCTCAAATCAAACTTGCAGTAGCAAGTTTGAAATTAAAATGCATCAATTGCTGCACCTTTCAGATTTAGGATAGAGGGAACTAGCAAACCTTTTCATGTGGCTATCTAGTATAGCTCCCTTAAATTGAAAGTCTGTTTCTGAACAGGATGTATGAGCAATGTATCGGTTCTATCTTCATATGGTACTAAAAAGTACAGGGATACAGCATAGAAGATTTTTAACCCCCTTAAAAGAGAATCAAAATGTTTTGACACATTTAAAGTATTATTATATTTTTAAGAAAAATAAGCAATAAATCCAGCATTGTGAGAACTAAAATTTATGCCTTCTATAAAAACCATAAAAACAGAAAATCCAAACATTTAAGACCACCTTTGCAGACTAAATGTATCCCAAATGTCACAGTGGTCTCAGTTGAAGTTTTGGAATATTTGATTTCTATTCAAATAGGAATGTTTTGGTAAAGTTTGAGTTGCATTAAGACTTATTTTAAGTTCCCATATTTAATTTCTGGCTTTATAAACAATTTTAGACTCAATTTTCAGAACTCCTCTTCCCCCAACTCCCCCCACCCCTTTAAACAATGCAACCATCTTGCTGAAAATGTCGAAGTACTGTGCCTGCATGGAAAACCTGTGGAAAAGTCTGAATCTATTTGCATTTCCACTGTTTTAATAAGGAGGAAGCCTATTAAGTTTTAATACAAAAGACTGAAAAAATTGTAAATGAATATCATCTAGCTTCTGGCTCAAAAGGAGTGCTGATTAGGCAATAGTAGGTCCCTTTTCAACACATTTTACACTCAGGGGTTGTTTGTGCACTTTTCAAGCTGCTAAGGTATCTAAGTTGGAATCAAGTCTCCTCTCCCTCTCCCTCTAAAAAACAAGGCCATTCCTCATCCTAGGTAGAATGGACATGCAAGATTTCCCATTGCAGCTCATGGGATAACTTGTGGGAGAAAGAAAACCTCTTCCAATTAGTCTACAACATAGTGCTGGTAGCATTTCTATGATTCAATAAGAGGCATGTTAAGAGTGCTGTAAGTGAATTTTACTCTTCTATCAGTGGGCCCAAAATTTTGCTTTGAGGGCACAATCATCTCTGACCATATGATTGGCAAAGCTAAGAACAGGTCTTTGTAGATAAGTTGGCAGCAATTTTTAAACTACAAGTCAGAGAAGAGTTACAAGAGACCTAAGAACCGATTAATTTTTCCCTAGAGGAGGCATCTTACAGAAGAAGTAGGTAAGCAGAATAACACTGCATTACTCCATTGAGTACACCTTGAAGAAGTACCTAGCTTTAAAAGATTAGCCCAAACTAAAGAGGAGGATTATAGAGAGGACTGGTATAAACTGAGAGCTCAAGGAAATGTTCCAATGAAAAAATTGGGGGGCAGCTAGGTGGCACAGTGGATAGAGAACCGGCCCTGGATTCAGGAGGACCTGAGTTCAAATCTGGCCTCAGACACATAACACTTACTAGCTGTGTGACCCTGGGCAAGTCACTTAACCGCATTGCCTAACCCAAAAAAAAAGAAAGAAAAAAAAAAAAATAAAAAAAGAAAGAAAAAATTGGGACTCATGTTAGGGCTACAAATTTTCTGAAACAACAAGATGGATATACTACATTAGTCTTAGAGTTTAATAAAATTGCTCAATATTATCTTAGGATTAGATATGGTCTTGATGAAGTAGTCAAAGACAGAATTATTAATGATTTTTAAAGACAGTTCACAGTGGTAACCCCTCTGTTGTTCTTCTAAAGAATATGCGCACTCACTTCAGCAGGTCAATAATTAACTCTTTAACAGAATGATTTTAACCACAAGCCAACCAAAAGATTTCTATTGTACTTCCAAATTCCAGCTTCATAAATTAACATCAAAGACATTCTTATTCTTCCCTAAGTAGACTGATTAACTCAGATATCAACATATTTTAAAAAATAAATAAGAATCTGTTCTGAGTGTGTAGAAAATTACAAGAAACCCTTAAAATATCTATGGCTGGAAATTGATATGAGTAAACTCAATATTACTATTTACATACCATATTATGTGACCAGTTGAGTTGAGATAGGGCAACTAGATTATCTCATGTAAAATGTTATTATTAAATGTTCTGTAATTGGAAAGTGCTATGTAGAGGCAAGCTATTATCATATTCTATTAATATGTCAAAGACCAAAAGATCTACTTAGTCTATTCCTCATTTAAGAATTGGAAACACTTAACTAAATCAATATCCATTCTTGCTGCTCTCTCTAAGAAATGAAGATGCACATAGTAGGTACTTAGAGATTTGTGAGACAGAAGAAAAAATAAATTTATTTTCTAATCAAAGTATACCTAATAATATATTTTGCATCTTAAAAATGGGGTTATAACACCCATATAACCCACATTATTGGGTTTGATTAGTATAGCTAATAATGGCTTAGTGAGGATGAGAGGAGATAAGGAAAAAGGAATAACAATTCTCTTTACTAGACTGAAATACTTTTTTTTTCCAATTTAGGAGGAAATCACCAATCTCACTTTTCAATGTTCAATGAATCCTGCTTAGGAAAGACTACATATATTAAACTATGACTACCATTTCAAACAATGATGCCCATCTGCTATGAAGTATTCTACTCTTTAAGGTTCCAGCTGCTACCTCTGTTTAGATACATCACATTGTTCATTTTCCTATGAAATGATGTACTGCCCACCCCCAAGTTTGTCACAAGTACTTAACTCAGCTAAAATAAATATTCCTACTCTTGTTTTTTAAAAAATTTTTATGATGTTATAAGATATGACCTAGGATGGGAGGGGGCAGAGTGAGAGGTACCTTCTCTAAATCCAAACCATGACTATGGTCTCCAGTCATTTCTGGAGGTAAAGATAGTATGAGTTCTTTTCATAATGAGCATCAGATATCACAATGTATAATTTTAGTGGTTTGTTCTTAAGGGAAAGGTTAAGACAAGTAGACTATCAACTGGAATTCTATAATGAAACGTATTAATGTACAATATCTTCTACAAATACTTACACCTCTTAAGGTCAGTTCAAAACCCAGTTGGTAGCAACACTTTTAGTTAAATGTTAAACATATATAAAAATCACTGGCCAGAGATAGTGAGGCAGAGTCATCAAGATACAAACCAAGCCATTTTATTTAATGTTACCACATGCTGCAGGCAGAAGGAATTCAAGAATTTCAAAGGTGTAAAGGGGCTTTCCAAATAGGGAGAGGTATTCATTTAGAAACTTACTCTTTTAGAGACCACCATTAATCCACTTACCCTGAGCTGTTCGTCGTTCTTCAGAAGGTGACTAAGATATGTATTTCCCATTTGGATCATATGTGAGCTTGTACACTGGACCAAGGCTGGAGACCTTGGTTTTAGGTCTGTCTGCCAATAATTAGCTTTGTTACCTTAGGCAAATCATTTTACCTTCTTTAGGGCTCAGTTTCCTCCCCAGTAAAGGGAAATACTTGAAACAGATGATTGCAAAGATCTTTTCCAACTATTATGTGAAATCTAAAATCTAAGTGTCCAGAGTTTTCCTAATATGGGGAGGAGGAATGACAGCCCTCAGCTTGTTAGGAGCTGAGAGTACATAATTAGGCAAGGATTACCTTTAATTGCAATGAATGAGGAAGAACAAAAGAATATAGTAAAAGCATGATTATAGTAGTAAGGAAAGAGGAAACTAGAGAGTTTAAAAATCATTTTTGTCAATATTAGGAAATAGCAATGATCATGCTCGCAGACCATGAAGCTTACCGGTATCCTGACTGCAGTTCTTCCAATTGTTTCCCTTTTGGCCAATACTTCATCTGGATCCAGCAAAAACTAGATCCGAAAAACACAATCCAACAAGTGAGAAAATAACATAAAACTGTGAGCATAAAGTTTGACCAAGAACTGGCTCCCCAAATCCCATCCTTTCTCCCACAATACCTGACTAAGGATCCCTATAGCCCCAGGATACTTGGAATCTAGGACAGGGAAGGAGTTCCCCTTATTTTACCTCCCTGGTACTCACCACAGCTACATCGGCCTTTCTTTTCCGGGAGCGGGAGGATTCTGTTGAGCCACCACCACTTTGCTCTCTTCCGGGCTCAATACCCCTCTTCTTGTTCTCTTCCTCTTTCCCATTCCAGCCATCTTCCTTCCCATCAGGGCTTCTTTCCTCCGTCCCTTCAGCATGCTCACTGGGACTTTGGTTTTTCTTCCCGTCAAAGAGCTCACCAGCACTCGGATCCTGCCTGCTATCAGGATTTGGGTCTTCCCTGCCATCAGGGCTTGGGTCTTCCCTGCCATCAGGGCTGGGGCCTTCCCTCCCATTTGGTCTTGGTTCATCTCTCCCATCAAAAAGCTCATGGAGACTTGGGTCTTGCTCCCCACAGATGAGCTCGTGGAAGCTTGGATCTTCCTCCTCATAGATGAGATCAATAGGCTGTGGGTCTTCCTCCTCACAAATAAAGTCCTCATCATCAGGGTGTGGGATTTCCTCCTCACAGATAAGATCATCAAGGTTTGGGCCTTCCTCCTCACAGATAAGCTCATCTGAGTTTGGGCCTTCTTCCTCACAGATAAGCTCATCTGCATTGGGATCTTCCTCATCACAGATAAGCTCTTCTGGACTGGCATCTTCCTCATCAACGGTGTCTTCCTCATCACACATAAGCTCATCGGGGTTGGGATTTTCCTCTTCACAGATCAGCTCATCAGCATGGGGGTCTTCTTCCTCACAGACAAGCTCATCTAAGCTCGCACCTTCCTCCTCACAGACAAGCTCATCTAAGCTCGCACCTTCCTCCTCACAGACAAGCTCATTAGGGTTTGGATCTTCCTCCTCATAGATAACTTCATCAAAGCTTGGATCATCATCCCCATAGACAAGCTCATCAATACTTGGATCTTCCTCCCCATCAAAGAGCTCATCCGGGCTTGGCTCGTGCGTCCCGTTCATAAGCACATCGGGGCTCCGCTCATGTATACCATTCATAAGCTCATCGTGGCTTGGCTCTTCCTTCCCATTCACAAGCTCATCGGGGCTTGGCTCTTCCTTCTCATCAACATGATCTTCCTTCACATCCTGGTTAAATTCCTCCTTCCCCTGGCATTCCTCAGAACCGCTGCAAAAACAAAGCCAACGGGGATTGTTGGGAGAGGCTTTGCCCCTAAACCACCTTCTCCCTTTTCCTGCCACAGAGATACTCACCTTTCTCTGGACATTGTGGCAGAGCAAGGGCTAAGACCTCAGTTCTAGAGGGACAGAAAGAGGAAAGATTAAAAGGTCTAATAAGTCTTTGCCGAGCAGTACCAATCTACCCTGCGGCCCCCTAATTCCCAAGAGGACACGATCCTTTTCCTCCTTCCCCTTTCTCTCCCAGGGTGGTGGTGGGGAAAGCGTCCCAAGCCCCCAGGGAAAAATAGCAGTTTAGAATGGGAGAAGGGCCACAGATCCTCAAGATCAATCTCCAGGAGACGACCCACTCATTTACTGCAAAAAGACTCTCTGACCTCCCGCTCAGCCCTCAGAAAACAGCGGTCCTCGGGGTACACTGATCTTTCAAACTCAAGTGCAACCCGGGGCACCAGACCTGCCTCTGCGGATTTATGTGCAAAGTCAATGGAATTGGGGGTGGGGAGGGGGAAGGTCACCTCCGCCCCTTCTTGGCGTGCCTCGCGTCAAACCATCAAATGGGAGAAAATGTGCCAGATCTACCTCTTGCGAACCCCAACCTTATGGTGGTGGTGGTGATGGCGGCGGCCGCGGCCAAAGTAGTGGATATGGCGCGTCTACGAGGTAATCCTGGGATCCGCAGAATCCCGGTTCACCTGCTCTCGCATCTCGTTCACCTCCCTTCCCCTCCCCTTACCTCCGCCGTTGCTCTGGCAGGCGGCCACACAGCGGGAATCCAGGTGGCAGAGGTAATGACCGAGCAAGGCAGAATTCTTGCCAGGGGGTAGCCTCACCAATCCGCTGCGTAACGGGCAGCGAGTACTGCGTACCCTCCTGGTCAAGTGAGCAAGCGAGCTAACAGCGTGCGTTCCTCTGCCTCTATCTCCCCAGCCGTCCTGAGCCCATCTCCCGCCTGCTCACTACCCGCTCTGCTGGCTCGCTAGCGCTGGCTAGTTGGCTGGCTGGTGGGGCTGGCCCGCCCGCCCTCAGGGGCGGTGTTTGCGGCTCCCACTCCCCGCCCTCCTCCGGAGATCTCCCGCCTCCGCTAGCAGCTCCGCCAGCCACACCACTCGGTCTCGAGTGTGGCCCTTGCCGGCTCTGCCCGCTGGTCTTGCCCGGTGGCACCCGAAGGACGTAGAGCTCCGCCGCTGACACCAGCTACCAGTCATGAGGCTGGAAGGCCGAAGATGCGAGGACCCGGCTGCGAGGACCCGGCTGCGAGGACCCGGCTGCAAAGATAGGCTGCAGGGTCTTGGCTGCAGGGACGTGGCCGCAGGGATTTGGCTGTAGGGATGTGGCTGCGAAGACTTGGCGGCGGGCACTCGGCTGCTATCAGAACTCGGCTGCGGAACTCTCCAGCTGTGGTGATAGGATGCCCACCGTGCCCGCCTCCCTCCTCCTCCCACCCTCCCTTGGAAGCCCCAGGTGCATCCTTACCCGCAATGGGCGGCGGCTGGTAGCTGCAGCAGCGGGCGCGGGTGGCGGAGGTGGTGGCGGCGGAGGCTGCGGCAGCGGAGCTGGAGGAGGTGGCGGGGGTGGTGGGGGAGGCAGCGGCTGGGGAGGTGGAGGTGGCGGAGGCGGCAGAGGTGGAGGAGCTGGGGGCTGCTGATGGATGCCCGCAGGCGGCAGCTGGTGATCGGGGTTGGCCGAGGGAGGCAGGGTGAAGAGAAGGAGAGGCAAAGGCCAGAGGCGAAGAAGGAGGAGGCCAGAGGAGGCGAAGCTCGGAGCTCCTGGGCAGCTCTGGTGGGATGTGCAGGGCGCGGCTACCTTCCTTTATACCCTGACTGCCCGCGCCCCCCTCCAGCGGGACATTAAAAAAATATCTAAGGCGCGCAGGGGCCCCCCCACCCCACCCCCTCATTTCTCCCCCTCCCCCCCCACTCTTAACCCTCCCCGCCCCCCACTTCAGGTCCGGCCTGTCTCGGCCTCACTGCCTGGGCCGGGCTAGGGCCAGCTCTCCCTGCCTGGGCGTCGAGCTCTGGGGGTAGGGGGCACCCGGCCAGCAGCTCCGGATGAAAAGCCGCTCCCCCCCCCACCTCTTCAATTCATAGGGAGCATGCGCACTGATGTGCAGCTGCTAAGGGGAGGTGGGGCCTCCTGGTGCTTAGGGAGAGGCGAAGGGAGGGGGGTGCTTGCAATTCAACAGATGAGGGAAGGGAGGCGGGGCTGGCCGGAGCACCGCTGCTCTCTCTATGAGCTGCAAAAAACAGCATGGTCGGGGCTACAGATCCGTGTAAACAAGGGGGCAATTGTGATAGCTCTTTTGGAGGGGGAGAAAATGTGTATGGGACCCGTAGACTGCAGGCTTGGTTCCAGCCTCAAAACTGGGGAACAGTGTCATGAGATGGGGTGAACTTGGAAGGTGGGATGGAGGGGAGGCATTACTGCTCTTTGGCCTTTGCAATCGCCGCTGTAGATTGTGCTTGGTGTCTTTCTCCATGGTTAATGTGTGTGGGGGTAGATGTCTTAGCTGCTTTTCTTGATTTTCAAGGCCATGATGCCAGTTCCAACTCTTTCTCTTCTCTCCACTCCCTCTGTAATATACCCAAGGCAAGATAACACCAAGCCTACCTGACTCTGCAGAAGCCTGTGTGATTTTCCCTTCTGCCTTTCATTCATGTGTAACCCCTGCTTCCAAGTCTTGGAAGACCTCCCCAACCCCGGTTGAGCTCTCTAGCCCTTGAGGCCCTGTCACACTTACATTCCGGCCCCTGGTTTTATTCAACTTAGCACTTTGTTGCACGTGGCCTTGTGGGGATATCTGGCATGACTATAACTCAGGGTTCCTCCAAAAGAACCTTCCAAAAGACTGTAAGCTCGAGAGAGTCATGATTTATAGATAGTTCCCTTCCTGGGTTCCTCAACATTATGCCACAGCCATATTTCTGAACCAAAAGTTGGGAAGTACGATCTAAGGAAGGATGTTTCTTTGGGAAATCGTCCTTAGGTAAAAGCACACTTTCTTTTCTTCAAATGGAGAGAGCTCTGAAAAATCCCAGAGACAGAATCTTTACTTACAAACCCAACTCCAGGAGGTGTAGTAGATACTGGATCATATTTGTGGAATGAGTGAGAATGAATAAGTGAATGAATAAAGACATAGCCGTTTCAATGGAAAGAGTAATGGATTTGGAGTCAGAAGTCCTGGATTCATTACCAAGTTCTGTTGCTTACTGCTACTGTGACCTTTGGCAAATCACATATCTCTATGCCTCAGTTTCCTTATCTATCCATCACAGATGTTCTAACTGACATTAAGTGCTTCTTCAAATGAATAAGGATGGCAGGATGCTATGAATGAATGGATGAGGATAAAGGGCCTCTGCCAATTAATGAATAAAGATGGTGGTCTCCATGGTGCCAAGGGTGAGAGGGATTGCAAACTGATTACTAGGCTCCAGGTGTGTTTGGGAGAAAGAAAGGCCGGGAGGAACCTGAGATAAGTTAATCATGCAGTTGAATTGCACTGAGTTAAGAGAACAGGCTTTTAACCCAAATCTTCCTCTTACTGACTCTGACTTGTTAGGCAAGTCCTTTAACCTCTTTGGGGTCTCAGTTCCTGATCTACAAAATGGAAATTGGGTAGGGTGGACTAGATGATTCAAGGTTCCTTCCAACAAAGACCCCCTTCCAACTTAATGTTCAGTGATTCTAAGTTCATCCTGCAAAGCAAGGATTCAATTTAATTCAAGCATTTACTTATTTCTTTATTTATGTGTGAGCACTCAACTGTGTGCAATCCTTTGCTAGGGGGATGCAAGATAAAACAAGACATGTCCACTGGCCTCAGAAAGCTTATGGTTTAGCGTTCATTTGGTAAAACCAATTTTTCCTTAATCCCTTGGTTTTCTGTTTCCTTCCAGCCTTTCCTAGACCATTCTACAATGAAGCTTAAGGAATAACGTAATAGGAATTTTATGGAATGATACTGGCTAGAATAGAGGAACAAGATTAGACACAGACATGGGAAGTGGGAGGAGAAGACAAGTAAGGGCCAGATCTGAAGAGGGCCATGCATCATTTTATCCCCTGGGAAGAGGGGCCTCTCTGCCCCTGGAGGGGGATCTCCCTGGGAAAGAGGCAGCCTTCCCAGAGCACACCACACCTAATCTTCCCTTACAGATACACCAATTCTTCTTTCTCTCAGGAGACATGGAAATAATGAGACAAGTAATGAGGGGTTGCTTTCTCTCTGATAGTCCGTGAAGTTTGGGCAGCTGTGTGCACAACTGGACTCTGCTGTCACTGAGGCAGCCTCTGTCTGTCTGCAGTTGGTATTGATTGCACTCCAAGGAAGTGAGCTCTCCTTTATCCTTGGAGCTCAGTTTTCAGTTTGGGGATTATCTAGGCCCAGGGCTTCTCCTTCCTGCCAGACATTTGGATATTTCAAGACTCCCTTGTTAGTACCTCAACTCATGTTTGTTGAATGAATGAATGAATTGGCCATTTGTTAACTGGTTTTGGGGAGTAGGGATGGTCATAAAGCAGATTGAAATTATTGCCAGAGCCAGTACTGGGTAACCTGTATCACAGTTGCCACTGAGTACAGCCTGAGGCAACTTCTGTTGAATGATGGGTCCATTCCAACTATATCCTCTCTATCTTTCAAAACTCAATCCAAGTGATCCCTCTTCATGTGGTGAAGGGTTCGAAGACACCAGTCTTGAAAGTTTCAGAACCATCCTTCAGGCAAAAGTATGAAGTAGTGGAAATCATCTTCAGCCACAGGCATGCCCTCTCCAGCCTCCTAAATCCAAGGCTCGATCCCTCTTTCTACCTTTTTTTCCTTCCCTCCTCCCTTAAAACTAACATACTTTTGTCTTCTGCCTTGAAGGGTCTTGTTCTGCACTCATTGTCCAACTTCCTGTTCCCACTCCATCTTTGAAAGGTTTTGTTCTCATCTGGTTCTAGAATTGTAGAACTGTAGGATGTTGGACCAGGCAGGGAAAGTACTCATTTTTTGAGGAGGAAACAGAATCCCACAGAGGTAGAATGATTTGCCCAAAAGACAACTTTTTTCTCTACAAAAATATTTACCTTGTAAAGTAAGGTTCATTTCTTTTCTCCCTACATTTTATATATATATATATATATATATATATATATATATATATATATATATACACATATATATATATACATATATATATATATACACATATATATATATATATATATATATATATATATATAAAATGTGGACTCAAACTGAACTTGACATTGATGCTTTTGTACTTCCATTTTCAGAGTTAAGTTCAATTATATTCAGATGTTTGATATTTTAGTGTATAGCCCTTTCACTTAACGGACATCTTTTAATTGTTTAACAGCTTTGATTGAAAAAAGTGAATGGAGTGGGGGGAAAGGGGTCATTTATATAACACTGTGTACAACAGGTCAGCCCAGAAGATCTTTGGAGAACCAGTGTAACTCCCCCAGTTTCCTATTTGATTCTGTGAGATGTAACTATTAACAATGAGACTAATTTTTAAATGAACTCATATGAACTTTATGCATCCAAAGAGTGTTGCCTCTGCTTCTGCAAGCCTTTCTCCCATCTGTCCCCTTCAATCAATCAACAAATATTTATTGATGCCTATTCTATGTTTCCCTTCCTGCAGTTCTAAATGTCAAAATGCTATCCATTCTTCAAAACACAGCACATATCCTGCCTCTTATGTGAAGCTTTGCCAGCCTGCAGGCATCTGTCCTTTTCTGAACTCCTATAGTATTTGAAGTACACCATGTAGAGAATCACAGACTCTCAGAGTTTAGAACTTGGGTTCATAACTGGGTCCATGAACTCATCTTTTTTTCTTTAAAAAAAAAGATATATCTAGATTACTTATTCCAATAGAATTGGTTTCCATTGCAATCCTATGTATTTTAAGTATTTAAGAACATTATCCTGAGGTGGGGTCTATAGGCTTTACCAGACTGCCAAAAGGGTCCATGACACAAAAAAGATGAATGAACCCTGAATTTCAAGGGATCTCAAAGGCTCTCAAACTAGGATCTGAATAAAAATTACCTCTAAAATAGAGCCAGCAAGTGGTCAAGCCTATGCTTGAAAGACCTTTGCTGAGAGAGAAGACACTCTCTTCTTTGCCCTCCTCTCCCCTCTGTCCCCAGCAGCCCATTCCACTTTGGGATAGCTCTCATTGTTGGGAAGCTTTTCCTTACATCAAACCTAAATCTGCTTCTCTGTTAACTTCCAGTCATTCTTCCTAAGTCTGCCCTTTGGTGCCAGGCAGAACAAGCCTAATCCCCTCTGCCACATGACAGCCCTTCAAATACTTGAAGGTGGCTATCATGTTCCCCCTAAGTCCCCCTTCTGTCCTCTAAACTCAGCATCAGCAGTTCCTTCAATAGATCCTCACATGACAAGATCTCATGGCCCATCACCATTCCTATAATTCACTGGGCAGTCATCATATTCAGTCTTGTACATAGATTTGTCCGTACATCATGGCACTTGAAGGTTTACAAAGCACTTTCCATGGGCTATCTCATTTGGTCATCATAGCAACCTTGGGAGGTAGGTGATATTATTATAATATATATGATAATATATTATATAATATATGTTATTATATATAATTATTCTCCAGAAATAGAATATTTCTGAAAGAAATAGAAAGGGAAACTAAGGCTGAGAAAAGTTGAGTGACTTGCCCTTGGTAGCAAAGCTACTAAGTATCTAAGATCCCCTACTATAAAGTAAGCTCCTTGAAATCAAAGATTATTCATCTTTCTTTCCTCAAAGGTGCTCAGCATAATAAAACACTGGTCTTAGAGTCTGGAAGCCCCAAGTTCAAATCCCATATCATTAT